TGTCCACAAGGTTTAGGGGTGTGTTGATGGGAATTTTTGAGCATTCTTCTAGAATCGCATTTGTGAGGTCACACACTAATATTGGACGAGTTTACGTGGCCTACCACTTTGTGGTTGAGTTGTTGTAGTTCCCAAACACTTCCATGTTCTTATAATACAGCTGTCAGTTGACTGTGGAATATTTAGGAGTGAGGAAATTTCACGACTGGATTTGTTGCACAGGTGGCATCCGATCACAGTTCCACGCTGGAATTTACTGAGCTCCTGAGAGCAACCCATTCTTTCACAAATGTTTGTAAAAAGTCTGCATGCCTAGGCACTTGATTTTATATACCTATGGGCATGGAAGTTATTGGACCATCTGATTCTGGATGGGTGAGCGAATACTTTTGGCAATATAGTGTATCTATCAGCACTAAATTGGCACTAGATAAGTGTCAAAGGAAGTCAAGGAGGGGCTAGGCTTGGATCACTTGTGGCAATGCAAGGAGTCTAAATTGATTATGTGTTTTATTCTGTCCCACCTGCAGCTCTGCTGCTCTTCTACAAAAACACCTCAGCAATTCTGCAGGTAGTTGGAATGAGGGGCAGAGGGAAGCTTGTATGAAACTGCAGTAGAGTTACTACTAGACACTGTAGATAAACTGAGCAATAAAGTAACAAACATAAATATTTGGTGAATGCTGTTTTAAAATAAAGCTATAGAGCCAGGGAAATATTAACATTTTTATTACTTTGTGGCATACTTTTAATGGATTTGAGCCCATTCTTTTCCCTATAATTTAAACTGTATATTTTAAAAGAATAGATTTAAAAAAATAGAAATATTGTCCTCATGTTGGCTTTCTTTGTACATATTAGATTGGCTCTGACTTCAATGAATAAATACCGAGAGGCAATTAACAGTTACCAAAAGGCACTGGATCTTGATCCAGAAAATGATTCTTACAAATCAAACCTGAAAATAGCTGAACAGAAATCAAGAGACATGTCCAGTCCTGTAAGTTAGCTTTCAAACCATTTGTAATAATATATTGTTTAAATGCTTTGGTTAACCTATACTTCTTTACTAATAGTTGACATGTATTTATTTTCAGACTGGAACTGGTCTGAGTTTTGATATGGCAAGTTTGATAAACAATCCTGCCTTCATTAGCATGGTAAGTATGCTTAAAAAATATTTTTGCTGTTCCTGGTTCCACTGTTTCACATATTGGCTAACTATTCCTTACTCTTCTTGACGTCATCTTTTCATTAATTGTTAAGATGATGATGCCATTGATTAAAATTAAATCCCGTCTTTCACCATATTCAAAGTACCTTGTAACTGGAATACAAAATACAAAAACTCAACAATCAAACCAATACAATTAAAATCAACGGAGACAATGCAATTTTCTTAACACCAGGACAAACTGCTCAAACAGCTAAAAGCCTGGTGAAAAAGAGTTTTTTTGATATTTTGCTAAAAACTGGAAGACTGAGGGTGGGGTGAAGTTATATTCTCTGGGAAAGAATTTCATAGCTTGGCTCCACACTTGAAAAGATTTGAATAGCTGAGCTGAGGCATTTTCAAAAGAACCACATATTAATTATATAATAGGCCAGTAATGAGATACCATAGTCCCGCGATGGTGAACCTATGGCATGTATGCCACAGGTGGCACGTGGTGCCATTTTTCAGGGTGGCTGGCCAGCTGACTTCGACCTTCTTTTGAGGCCGTTTTTCACCCTCCAGAGGCTTCCTTGAAGCCTCCGTAGCACAAAAAAACGGCCTTGCGTTCCCAAACTTCCAGTTTGCTCATTGGATCATTTTTCGCCCTCCAGAGCCTTCATGAAAGCCTCCTGAAGGCCTCTGAAGCCTCCAGAGGACGAAAATTGGCCCTACAGACAAACCAGAAGTCACCATGTCCGAACTTCCGGGTTCTCTGTAGGTTTGTTTTTCGCCCTCCGGAGCCTTCAGGGGCCTTCGGCCCTACGAGTAAACTGGAAGTTACCATTCCCGAACTTCCGGGTTCCCGTAGGTCCGTTTTTTCCATCCAGAGGCTTCAGGGAAGCTCGAGGCTTCTGGACGGCATCCAGGGCAAAAGCTCTTTTCGCCTTCCCCAGGCTCCTAGAAAGCCTATGGAGCTTGGGAAGGGTGAAAAAACTGCAGCAAAAGCGGGGGGGGGGGGGCACTGGTCACACACACATGGGCAGGGGGGCATCACACGCATAGCATTATGGGTGCGGTATGCTGGTGCACGACCCCCCTGTGCTCCCCCTGCTTTTGGCA